TCTAAAAAAATTAAAATTTTACTTTCTAAGCTAATTATAATTTTTTTTGTAAAATAAGTTCAGATTTAACATTAACTCAAAAAAAAATTTTTTTAGAGTTTTCTCCCTTTCTATTGCAAAGCTCCCATATTATATATAAATGCTAAATATTCTTATAAATTAAAATCCTTAATAATTAGCAAATATGAAAGATTGTGTACTTTAAAATTGTTAAATTCAAAATATGTCTATAATATGAGGTGAGTGCTGGAAAAATAGACCAAATCGATAAAAAAAATTTTTTGAAATAATAAATGATCTGAATCAAATAACCAAATCTATATCTATTTTACTTAGAAACTTTTTTTTTAAAAAAAAATCAATTTGGTCTATTTTTCTAGCACTTACCCTATATATCATAATAATGGCAAAGCCTAAATGATTACATCACATTTTTAAGAATAGGTTTAAGAATTTGATCATTAAGTTAATTTAAAGCATCAGGCTAGCGTGTATTACTTCTTATCGATAAATACTGTAATCATTAATAAGATGACTTTACTTTATAATATATTTTTTCTGCCTTTAAATATAACCTCAAAAATCTAGATAATATATGCTAGAATAATTATAATCTTTAAAAGATATTATTATTATTCTCATATACAGTAAGATATAATATTAAACTTATATCTTTTAAAACTAAATTAATGATTTTTTAAAAGCTTAATGCTACAAATATATCAAAGTAAATAATCATGCAAAAGACTTATATATGTATATCTTATAAGTAGCTTATTTATTATTAAAGCATAAGATGAGATTAAAATTAAAATAATTCATAACTGCTAACATTATATAAAAATTATTTTTTTTGTACTAATAAAGAAGCAGATTTAAGAAATATATTAAAAGATATTTATCAATCTGAAGACTCAATATATAATAATTTTGCAGATGATATTTAAGCTCTTAATCTTTCTTATTTAATGAAATTAGAAGAAATTCTTAAAATTTCTGAAAAGAATGTTATTTTCAAACTTTTTAAAAATGATTAAAAACTTGTATATTTTTTAAAAATACTGATAAGAAAAATATGGATTTAGAAAGATGGATGATAGTTTTAAAAATTCTATTATTAAAACTAGTATTGCAACTACTAGTTTAAAAACTATATATATGTTTTTATTTCAACAGAAAAATATGAAAAAATTAGTAAAAAAAATTAAAAAAATTCAATGCGATAAACAAATATTTCATTAAAAATAATACTTAGCTAATAACTTGTACTAATTATTTAGCTTATGATTTGTGTTGTATAATATTTAATTTAAAATATATCAGAGAAAAATATTTAAATTTTATTAAAACTACTAAAAAAATTTAAAATTATAATATTTATGTAATATATCTGTTATTTTATTAACTGTTCTTTAAATGCAAATTCTCCCTAAATGTATAAACATAATCAGTTTTAATAATAATGCACTTATAGAAAATTTACTGTATTGACATTATAAATTAATCAATTAATAATTAATTATAATAATATAATTATTAATTATATTTATTACTATAATATAATTTATTACTATAATATAATTAATTATAATAATATAATTATTAATTATATTTATTACTATTGCAATTATTATGAATTTTAAATCTTTAAATTTACAATATATATAGTATTATAAATTGTAATATAATATATATATATATTCAATGATTTTATCTAAAGATTGATAATTTTTTATATTAAATAATAAATATAAAAAATTTATTTTTATTTTAATAAAATTTTAAATATATTTATATGCATATTATAATTATTTAATCATTATAATATACTAAAGATGATATATACAATTATTAATTAAAAAACAAAAATTTAATATATAAAATAGAAAACATTAAGAAATATATAAAAATGAAAATTATAGTAATTTTGTGAAAGGATATTTTTGAAATAATTTGCTAATTTATCATAATTAATTGTTTTTTTACTTTACTTTGAATAATAAATAAAAATTAATTAAATTATATTGTAAGATTTTAGAAATTTTTTAGAAATTTTTAAATTTAATTTTTTTATTTTTTATTCAAGTACTTTAAATTTATTATAATATAAATTTCTTTTATTGTATTATATTAAAAATTATATAAAAGATTACATGATATTAATATGTGATGTTACAAAAAAAATGAAAAGTTTGAGGGGAATTTTATAATTATTTTTATTTTATTTTTTTTTTTGTTCTGAAGATTAAACAGGGATATTTTTATATTATAACAATTTTTTAAAGTTTATATCGCTAATAATGTACATATATACTTTATATACTTAAAACAATAATATATAACTTTTTTTAAAAATTTCCTTCTAGGAAATATTTTAATTTCAAAAGATACATCATGCTAATAATTATAAACAACACAATTAAAGGATAATCCAAAATAAAATTACGACCAAACCAATAATACAGGTAGTGGCAATTGATGTTTTAATGGATTTTTTTTCACATAAAGAATCAATATACTGTTCTTGTTGAACTTGATAAATATGTAAAAATATATCCGAAGTTTTTTCGACATCAGATAATTCAATCATGATTAAAAGAATTTGAATTTATAATATATTCAGTCAAAGTGTTTGTAAAAATGTGTGTGTGTGTATATTTGTTAAATTAACGAGACCACCTAAAATCGACTCATATTTATTATTAAAGTAAGTGAGTCAAGTGATCAAACATTGTCACGAATGTCACGTTTTACATGTGATCGGGCGTTGTAAATGGCACAGAAGTAATTTTAAATTACGGGATAATCGAAAATTATTAACTTTTTTAAGAAATTTTTTTTTTAGAATCCTGATTACAAAATGAGATTCGTATTTGTACCCGATTTTAAGGAAATTAAATTTCCCTGTATATAATACAATTTTTATTTATATGAACTAAAAAAAGCAACTAGCATTTATTGACAAAAAAATAAATGACGCCTGGGACGTGGCAACTTTTTTTCCTTTTCTTTTTTTTTTTTCTATTAATGTAACTCATCATATAACAATTTTTTTTGGCGAAAATTAATTGACGATATTGTTATGTATTCTTTGGTAATTAATATTAGTTTTATTAACGAAGAAAAAATGTACACATAAAATATTCTTTTAAACAAATTAATTATTAAATTAATGCTTTTTATGTATAGTATATAATAAACTCAAAGAAGAAAGAACGCTAAACAAACAAGCGATTGAACTAAGATAAAAAACGACATTATAACAATGCGCTCCTGAACAATGATCTTTATGTTGGTCATAATTCAAGCCGAATAACAAATTAAATAATTGTCCACCAAATGCCGGAACCTACAAGTATAAAGAAGATGATTATTATTGAAGCTATACCTTTTTTTAAAAAACATATATATATACATAAAGCACTACTTACAGCGGCAATGATTCCCCTATTATATAACAAGAAAAAAAAGAAATTTAGCCCGAAATGTTATATACCATAAATTCATGTATTCTTTTTTTTTAAAAAATTAGCTTACCAATTCAATCCAAATCTTTTAATACCAAACCATTCGCTAACGATTGTAGGAGTAATAGCATATATATTACCAAATCCAAATCCCACAAAAAAAGTAACGATAAATAATTTATTCAAATCAACGGCATAAAATAGGATTAATATTTGAGCAATGAGCAACCAAATACCAGACAACATGAAAAACCATAATCTAGGCAAATTAAATAATATTTTAGCTAAATCAGATAAGATTCCAAAAGTGAACCTTCCTAAACATGAAAAAACCGAAAGGTAAAACACGTGTAGATTTTGTATTTTTTGAATTTCTTCCAAAGGTGAAACATGAGGATGAGTTGAATTATAATATAAAGATTTAATTATCGTCCCAACGTTATTTATATACATTAGTCCTGTACCAGCGACACAAAACATTGATACAGCCAATATTTTAGCGTCATGGTTATAAAATAAATCCCAGCCACCAATGTCGATCTCCTCCTCCGTTTTATGTTGTAATAATGGTAATCTCTCATCTTGATCATGCGTTGAAGTATTAGATGAAATTCCTTCTTCAACAACTTCGTCTTTGTTGTTTGGTATAGGCACAACAACTAAAAAAAAACTGGAAACAAACATACACAACCCTGCACTTATAGAAATGAAAAGTAAGAAACGATAAGTATCATTTTTGAACCATAACGTATCTATCTCCGAATATATCGCCGCCGTTAATCCGAATAATGCCATCGGAGCCCCAAATGCTATCCCTCTAAATGATGTAACATTTTTCGCCTAAATTATCATGATATAAAAAGACGAGAAAATTTTAAACAAATTGCAAATCCTGTTTCAGTGATAACAACAATTCATCATAAATGCTTACAATCGTCACGAGACTTGATACCAAGCCTACAGGAGAAAAGATATTTTTTATTTTGAAAAATAGTTCGTCAATTTATTTGTCAAAAAAAACGTAACACATGAATTACCTGCGGATGATGCCATTCCTGATATGAAAACGTACAAGGCACATAACAAGAATGACGAATTAGATAGAGTTCCGTTATATGTCATTGCAAGTAAAAAGTAACCCGTGAAAACGGCAAAAGAAGCGAACAATGTCGTCCTTTACAAATTTAAGGAAAAAGAAAAAGGGTGTTTTTAATTATAATCTTTACATTTTCTCGTTTTTGTCGGGTTCTACGGGCGAATCAAAAAAAAAAGTTAGTTGATTAAGTACCTTCTTCCTCCATAATTATCAACAATATATCCAAAAAGCGGTTTACACAGATAAACACCATAATTTGCAGCACTGCCAATTGTATTTATTTGAACGGAACTAAAACGTAATTGATCTGCTAACGATGTACTGTATGCTGAGAAAAGGTATTGTGTACCGCTTACCGACGAAATTAAAAGAGCCGCTAAATAACTCAGAATTAATTTTATTACTCGGGAGTTCATTTTTATATATATTGTATATATATATGCGTATTTATTTTATCTTTTTTTGAGATAAATATATTTTATTGTATTTTTATTTTTTTTTTAATCAATTTTAAAAGAAAAAACGTAAAATGAAATGATTATTTTGGATATATACAAAAAATGAATCGGGAAATAGTGATTATATTCTTTAAATATTATATGGTGAGTGAGACGGACAAAATTCGAAAGGGTTGAAAATAAGACAAAGTTGTTGACAAAAAAAAAAATTTTTTTAAATTATTTTTTTGATCTGGAAGAAAAAATCGGGGGTAAATGTTCCTTTATATTAAAAAAAACCCCCCGATTGCATTTCTTTGCTAAAAAAAAAAAATTTTTTTTTTTTTTTCGGGCTTTCAGAATTACCGAGTCATGTGGTTTAGTTGAACGATCTCCCTTTCTAGCGAAATTATTTTTTGTTTTTTACATGTGATTATAATATTATATCATGATGTATTGACCAACACCAGTAATAATCCATTACTATAAAACATATATTTATGGGATTTCCCTAGATTTATATATATAAGTTTTGTTTGATTTCGAAAATACCGTTTATTTATAAGATTGTAAATCATTCTTATTACAGTATTATTGTTAATTTCCAATTAAAAAAAACTCCGTAGTCAGACGACGTCGCACCAATGAAATGTGCATCAATTATTACTTTTTTGACAATCTTATTAAGTCACGATGGTTTGAAATTTACGCCACGCTGCATAAAGTATTGAAATTGGGAAGCAAAGCTTTTTTAAATACGCATGATGATGTTAGGTAAATTTGCTTTTCGGCTTCCAAAGATATCATTGATGAATCGAGTTGCATCTTATCATGCAACAACACATTTATTTCTATTTAGTTCTTTACATACATCACATACATCTTCACCATTATACAATTCTATCCCCAAATCTTCTCCCCC